TGACTGTCTGTGTTTTTATGTGCTTCCACTAAGTTATCGTTCCATCGCTTTTGTGTTCTTCCTACTGATCGTCTTCCTATTAATGAACCGTCTTTACTAGTCTATTTGTTGTCATTCGGCTTACATGATCGTTCCATTCTACTCTTCTATTTCTTGCCCAGTCTTTGATTTTCTCCACCTTGCATCTACATCGTATATCTATACTTCTAGCTCTGTCCCCTAGTGTCTTACCATCAATTTTTCTAATTGTTTTCATGTTCATCTCTGCTATTCTAACATCCTTTTTGTCCTGTCTGTGTCAGGTCGTATTTCTGCTACTAATGTCATTATTGGTCTGATGATTGTTTTGTAAATTCTGCCTTTCATTTCTTTCTCCATATTTTAATTTTTTCATATTGTTTAAGTCAGGTAACCTGCTGCTCTGTTTGCTCTATTCACTTGAATTCACTTCTGTTTCGAGCTGATCATAGCTAGATATTTAAACTCCATCACTTGTTGTATTATCTGATATTTTAGCTCCCATTTTCATCTTAGTAAATTTGCTGTTATAACAATGCATTTGTCTTTTTTTGGGGAGATTCTTCTTCAAGTGCCATCTTCGTTCCGAAGGTTGGCGATCATCAGGGCTATACGTATTTTCGAAACTGCTGACCGAAACAATTCGTTGTTGCTACAACTATACCATTCCCGTAGATTCTTTAGCCAGGAGTTTCGTCTTCTTCCTATGGACCTTTTTCCTGCTATTTTCCCTTGCATAATTATTCGAAGCAGTTCATATCTTTCGCCTCTTGTAATGTGGCCCAAGTATTGCAGTTTTCGTTTTTTGATTGTAAATATGACTTCCTTTTCTTTGTTCATTCTTCTCAAGACCTCGACATTTGTGACTCTCTCGGTCCATGATATTCTCAGGATTCTGCGATACATCCACAGTTCAAATGCCTCTAATTTTTTGGTATCAATCTTTTTTAACGTCCATGACTCCATTCCGTAAAACAGCACAGAAAGTACGTAACATCTCATCAGGCGAAGTTTCATTTCAAGGCTCAAATCTCTTCCGCAGAACACTCTCTTCATTTTAGTGAATATGGATCTGGCTTTTTCTATTCTTATTTTGATTTCCGCTGAGCTATCGTTGTCTTCATTTATAAAAGTGCCTAAATATTTGTATTTGCTAACTCGATCGATAATTTCATTGTGTAAATATAAATTTTGGACATTTTGTGTTGATTTCGATATTACCATAAATTTCGTTTTCTTTATGTTCAAAGATAGTCCATATTCTTCGCTGCAGTCTGCTATCTTATTCACCAATGTCTGTAGCTCTTCAAGTGTTTCTGCGATCAGAACGGTGTCGTCGGCAAATCTCAGATTGTTTAATCTAACACCATTTATTTTAATACCTACGGATTGCTCAGAGAGTGTTCTATTCATTACGTCTTCGGAATAGAGATTAAACAGGGTTGGTGACAGTATACACCCTTGTCTCACACCTCGCTTTATTTCAATTTCTTCAGTGGTATTATTCTCTACTCTCACTACTGCTTTCTGATTGTAGTACATATTTGCTATTAGTCGGATGTCTCGTTTATCTAAATTCTTTTCTGTCAGGAGTCTGATTAGGTGATCATGCCGCACTTTATCAAAGGCCTTGTTGTAATCTATGAAACACATGAATACATCTTGATTTATGTCAAGACATCTTTGAGACATAACGTTCAGTGCAAACAACGCCTCTCTTGTTCCGAGTCCATTTCGGAATCCAAACTGGGTATTATTGATGTCCAGTTCCAGTTTTGTGTGTACTCTAGAGTGTATAATTTTCAGGAATATTTTCAGTACATGGCTCATCAGACTGATTGTACGGTAATCACTACATTGTTTGGCATTTATCTTTTTTGGTATAATAACAAAGGTGGATAAAAGCCATTCTTGTGGTATTTTTCCTGATGTATAAATGCTATTGAAAAGTTCAACTAAAATGCGAATCGAGTCTTTTTCTATTAGTTTAAGGATTTCCGTTGGTATTTCATCTGGACCTGGGGCTTTACCATTTTTCATTCTTTTTAGTGCGTACATTACTTCCTCTTCCGTTATTTCTGGACCTTCGTCTCCTTGTATGTTACTTAGCTCAGATTGCTGTCTATCATCTGCAAAGAGTTCTTCAATATAGTTTTTCCATGTCTTCAACTGTTCTTCTAGTTCTGTTATTATGTTTCCGTTGACATTATACAGGGTATTTGGCTGCTTACGTTTTTGTGTACCTGCAAGTTCTTTCACTTTTTTATGTACATTAAAAATATCATGTTTTGCCTGCAATTGCTCTATTTCTTCACATTTTCTTTTATAAAAATCTTCTTTTGCTATTCTGATTTCTATTTTAATTTCTTTCTGTAGTTGTTTATACCTTTGTTCGTTTTTTCCTTTCATTATTCTCCGGTTGTCCATGAGAAGAAGGATCTTATCAGTCATCCAACTTTGCTTTATTTTTGGTTTTTCTTTAGTCAAAATTTTCTTCGCAGGGCCTGTTATTGCCATTTTTACGTTTTGCCATTTTTTATCTATGTTGTTCGTTGGCTGGGATGTTTCCTTTTCATGAAGTATTTTCAAATTATTATTAATACATTTTTGCAGTTTCTCCTTTACCTCCAGGTTACATAAATGACTGACGTCTATCTGATTTGTTCTTCTTTTCTGCTCCAATCTTTTTAGTTTAATATTCATTTGCGCTATTAGAGGGTTATGGTCTGAAAAGACATCTGCGCCTGGGTAAGCTTTAACGGATTTTAAGGAGTTTCTGTATCGTTCGTTTATCAGTAAAAAATCAATCTGGTTTCGAATTATTCTTTCGCCATTGTCCTGGGGTGATTTCCACGTATAGAGTCTTCTCTTTGGTAAGTTGAAGAATGTATTAGATACAATCATGTTATTCTCCTGGCAGAATTGAAGTAGTCTGTCACCTCGTTCATTTCTTTTACCGAGTCCGTATTCTCCTACATGTTTGCCACTTTTTCCTTTGCCAATTTTTGAGTTAAAATCACCTAGAATTACGGTGATGTCTCGTGGTTTCGTCGATTTTAATACTTTATTGATTTCTTCGTAGAATTGTTCAATTTCGTCCTCGGATTTATCTGCAGTAGGTGCATAGATCTGTATGATATTTAGTTTACTTGTGTTTGTTTGTAGTTGGAGAAATAAGAGCCGATCTGATACTGGAGTAAAATTAATGACCGACTGCATCATAGACTTAGATACGAAAACTGCTACGCCGTGTCTGTGTTGAGTACTACTGTTTCCGGAGTAATATACCATGCCATTTGTTGTCGAAAAACTGCCAGAATTTGGCCACCTTGCCTCACTAATGCCTAGAATGTCGACATTTAATCTTTGCATTTCTTGTATTATATTATGCATTTTGCCTGGATCATACATACTTCTAACATTCCATGTACCAATTTTAATACTCTCTTGGGTGTTTTCCTATTTTTTTAAGAGTGGTATTTACTACTTCACAGGGATTTTGCTGGTTGACGACCCGGGAGGCCCTGTGGTCTTCTTGTGATATACCTCCCATGCCGGATCCTGGTCTCCGATTCCCATGATCAGTGGTTGACGAGGCTATTTGTTGTACAGTCATGATGATCGTACTAGAGATATCCATGATGGATCTTTAATGTAGTGGTTTCTCCTTGCCTTCTACATCCTTATGCCGTTGACTAGTAAATAGTTCCTCCGCCTTTAGTGCCAATTTCTTGACACTTGGACAAAAGAGTGCCCTTTCACTTGCATACCAACCGAAGTTGGTCAACAAGTGGGGACTGCTTATTCCGGCAGACACTCGGTCGCCAGAGCCTCGTCAGTTGTCTAGCAGGGTGCACCGGATGATTGAGATCAAAATCATCACACGCGTAGGTGAGGTTTGACAGTTGGATAGGAGAGGCTGTATGTTGCGCGTCACTATCCCTTACACCCCTTTGGGGAGATTAACATGTTAAATTTTCAGGTTCTTCTTCTTTTGGTGTCTATTCGTTTCGAATATTTGCGATCATTCTGGCTATAATTATTTTATTAACTGATGCTTTAAATAAATTAGTTGTTTTTGTGGAGAATCATTTCCTCGGCTTTTTAAGCATGATATTATTCTCTCAATTCCTCGCTTTCCAAATACTTTACCTTGAAGGATTAATTTCAGTAATCTCTATTTAGTGTCTCTCATTATGTGTCCGAGATATTCTAATTTTCTCCTTTTAATCGTATACATCACTTCTCTTTCTTTGCCCATTCTTCGTAGTACAGTCTCGTTGGTTATCTTGTCCGTCCATGATATCCTTAGGATTCTTCTGTATAGCCACATCTCGAAGGCTTCAAGTGTTCCATTTCTCTGGTATTTATTTCAAATTTATTGCACCTACCTACGGAACATTTTATGTAGTGTACGTGTAACTTTTACGTTCTCTACTTAATTCATTCTCGTACTATTCTTCTTGGTTCTGCTGAATTATTGTTTTTTAATGTAAAATCGCCTTTTTTAGTTGTTAATTTGACCTACTCTTTATTTTGACTTCGTTGCTGCTACTATTCTGTGTCTCTTTCTATGAATTTTGGGTGGCTATCTGAAAAAGTTTATAACACTGTAGTTTTGCATGAAAACAATTTAAACAAATACATAAATAACATATATTACAAACCTAGTTTACATCCGACAAACGGGGAGAACTTTTGAAAACGTCTACTAGAGCACAAAAGAGCATTTGAGCATTTATTAATAAATTTGTCTTAATCCATTTTATGTATTAAATTAGTTTTAAAAAGACTCTCTTTATATCACACATAAATAATAATTCTTCGCTTTAACTATATTTACTTCAATTTGAAAAAATGTGTTGCAAATAGGAAAATGTGTTGCAATCTCAACAGCTGTTGTGATTTATTAAATGAATTTTCTGCGAATGAATCATTTAAAACAAGTATTTTTTAACTAAACAATAAATTCTTTGTTTCAGGGGAATGACTACAAATCCAAAAATGTTCCTGCCGACATAACGTATTCAGCAATTGAGAATTTGTGTAATTTTTTCTTTCCTTATAAAATGTAAAATAACCAGTGTAGAATGTCAAATATAAACTTACTTCATGAACAACTATCAACAGAAAGTTGTTCTACTCTGATACCGAGTGATGATTTAAAAACTAACGGTGACATGTGTAATTTTTTACCAAATAATAATATTTGTGAGGACATAGTGTCTTCAAATAGTGCTAGATTCGATACAGACATTGATACAGAGTGTGATACACCGCAAACTACGACTGAATCAAGCGAAAAAAGCCCTGGGATGGAAGGTGCCAAAGACGACACAGAAGAAGATAGTCTTGATGGGTAAATATATTTTTTAAATAAAAAATAAAACTTAAAATCAAAACTTTAAAAAAAAAATAAAACATTAAAAGCTGTATCAATATAATATATAATAATATGTATAGTCCATTTCCATCATATTAATAGCACATTATTTATGCAAATCCCTAAACTGTTGATACGGGTGACTCAATGAAAAATAGATATTTGTCAACAAGTTTCCCGAAGTATATAGGAAAACAATTTTAAATTGAGTATGACCACCAGGTATAAAGGTTGAAGTACCTTCTCGGTACTTTTTAATAGTTCTTAGATAATCTCGTCTCCAACATACAATGTAATATTTTTCAATTAAAACGGATTTTTTTATTCTTTTGCCAACGAAATCCCATCTCTCTCAATAGTCCCCATAATTTCTTGTTGCTTATGATTGGTAACTCTTCGTTTTCTCTAATGAATGTATGAAGAATTTTCTCAATGTTGGAAATTCTTTGTTAAAAAAAATGAGTGGACGCTGCGTCTTATCATGTTTTTATGTATTTCTTCAATTTCCAAGGGTTTACTCCCTCCACTGTTCTTGGGAGATGAAACAGTTCCTCCTTTTCTTTCTTTTAGGAATCTATAAATTGTTGCTTCTCCAACCCCTGTCATATTTGAACACATGTTAACGATTTCACGAACATTACTTAAAGGGCGTTGATGTACAAGTGCATCGTGTACATTTAATATTATATTTTTCTCTCTTAGACTGAAGGCACCTTTAAAACTACACTTAACCGGAATAAAACCTGTTGTCGACGTCATTTTTAAATGCAAATAACAAAATATCGACACCAAAAACGTAGGTAGGTAAGACATGAACAATGTACATCTACAAACTAAATGGAAGATGCAAACAATTTCTAATTTATATTATTGGCATAAGCTGTAATGTGGCATAAAAACTACTTAAACTATCATTAGTGAAGCCTTATCAGTAATTCCAGGTAATCGTTCAAAGAAGGTATTCTTTTTGTGTGAGGCGATAACTTGTATAGAAAACAATAATCACCTTTAAATTACTGTTTACATTAATTTATTTCGTGAAACATTGAATTCTCTCGTTAATCACCCGTGTATAATTAACAATAATCGTGTGGCATATATACCGACGTTTTTTACGCACAAAAAAGGTATAGTGAGATTAGTGGACACTTACTTTACACAAGATTTTTTTAAAGATAACGAATTGTTGACGGCATCTTAAAATATTAATTTTTTTTTATTTATTTCAAAACAAGTATGGGTGACGCCTATGGTTTTTTGACCTGTTGAGGATTTGCATACATAATGTGCTATCAATATGATGAAAAAGGACTATATATGATATGAATTGTTTTCGATTTTGTCACAGTTTCTCCATTCTTTTCTATCTGTTACATTCTTGCCCACGTTTCGTACCTCCATTTTTTTCAAATCCTGTTCTATCTGCTTTCTTTACCTATTATTTAGGTATTTCTTTTGTCTGTCATTTCTTTTACATACTTATTTATTCATCTAAGGCTTTGCTTCATTTTAGTTTATTAAGATAAGTCAGGTAAATCCCAATATTTATCTTATTGATTTTCTTTCAATTTCTTTTAGATGTTCTTCTTTTACCGTTAATTTGCTAGCTTCCGAGACAAGCATTATAATAGATCTTGAAGTCGTTTTGTGTATCATAATTTTTGTGTTTTGTTTTTTCTGTTTGTTGCTGAATTTTTTGTATTTTTTTTGTGGAAGGCTTAAATTTGAATTAAATTCTCTTCTTCGGCTCTATTTTATCATGTATTCTTTTCGCCAGTATTCCTAAGTATTTAAACGTTTCCACGTTTTCAATTATATGTCGCTTGATTCTAAATTCTGATTCTGGACTTCTTCTTCAAGTTCCATCTTCTATCGAAGGTTGAAAATTATCTTGGCTATGCGGACCTTTTTGACTGCCGTTCTAAATAGTTCTGCACTACTGTATTCAAACCACTCCCACAAGTTGTTAAGCCACGATATTCTTCTTCTTTGGGTGCCGTGTCCGTATTCAGACGTTGGCCGTCATCATGTTTACAATTTCCTGAAACCTTTCTCTGTCGGCTGCTGCGCGAAATAATTCTTCTACTGTGGAACCACACCATTGTCTAATATTACGCAGCCATGAAAGTTTCTTTCGACCAATCCATCTCTTTCCTTCCACTTTTCCTTGTATTATAAGGCGAAGTAGATGGTATTTAGGTCCTCTAATTATATGGCCGAAGTATTCTGTTTTCTCTCCTCTTTATGGTGTTTATGAGCAGACGTTCTGAATTGATCATTTGAAGAACATCTTCATTGGAAGTGTGCGAAACCCACGATATCTTTAGGATTCGTCTATAGCACCACAATTCGAATGCTTCTAACTTGTTTAGCATTGTGGTTTTTAACGTCCATGTCTCACAACCATACAATAGGATGGACCACACATAACATTTCAGGACCTTCTTACGAATATTCATCGACAGGTTTCTGTTGCATAAAACTGGTTTCCACGTCATAAAAGCCTTACGTGATATTTCGATCCTGGTTATTATCTCTTCATCAGAGTCACAATTTACATTTAACCAGCTGCCAAGGTATTTGAAATGATTTACCCTTTCGATCTCCTCTCCATTAAGAGAAATCAGACCTTGATCTATATTGATCTTTCCAACTGCCATCCACTTTGTCTTTGAAATGTTGATTTTAAGGCCTCTCCGATAACTTGCTTCACCTACTAGATTTAGTAATGTTTGGAGATCTTGTAAATTTTCTGCAAGAATGGCTGTATCGTCAGCGTATCTAATATTGTTGATTACTTCTCCACCTAGTCTTACTCCCTCTTGTCTGTCATCCAAAGCCTCCCTAAAGATTTCTTCAGAGTACAGATTAAAAAGAGTGGGTGACAAAACACAACCCTGCCGTACTCCACGTTTGATGGATAGTTTTTCAGTCGGACTGTCTCCAATTTAGATAGAGGCTACTTGATTGTAATATAAGTATTTCAGCAGTCTTATATCATAGTGGTCAAGTCCTGCTGCCGTAGGCAATCGAAAAGTGTATCGTGTTGTACTCTGTCGAACGCCTTCTCGAAGTCGATGAAACAAACATAAACATTCTTTCGGAATTCACAACTTTTTTGTAATAGAACGCGCATACAGAATAGTTCCTCTCTAGTTCCTAGACCGTTTCTAAATCCAAATTGCTTATTACCCATCCTACTTTCGCATAGAAGGAATACTCGGTTTTGTATAATTCGTAAGAGTATCTTCAGTGTGTGACTCATCAAACTGATTAGTCTAAAATCGCTGCATTTGGTGGGCCTTCTTTTCTTTGGTAATGTTATAAACAGTGACCCTAACCAATCATCTGGTATTTTTCCTTCGTTGTAAATTTTGTTGAAGAAAGTGGTTAATCAGGCAATGCTTTCCTCATCCAAAAGTTTAAGTAGCTCAGCAGGGATTTGATCTGGTCCAGGTGCTTTATTGTTTTTGGCTTGCTGTATTGCCTTTTTGACTTCCGAATTCAGTATACTGGGACCTTTGTCTAACTGGTTCTCACAGGCAGTATTTGGAGCATTTTCTCTAGAAGCATCGTCAAAAACGTCAGTGATGTCTTAGATGATATTCTTAGTCTTCCCTTATTTCAAATTCCTCGAATTCTGGACAGTCGTCCACAAAGTGTTCGGATGTATTTTCCCTCTCCTCACACCTGGGACACATTGCTGATTGGCTGTGCCCATAGATGTTTTGGTGTCTCGCGAGGTTAGTGTGACTTGTGAGGACCTGCACAAGCTCCCGAATTTCATCTCGACTCAAAGCAGTTAGTTGGTTTCCAAACTAGACTGAAACAATTGCCTCATTAGTCTGACAACAATCAGCCCCCCGTTCCATCTTGCCAGGTGCTGAAAGAGTAAAAGTAAAAGAGTTCAGGTTCAAAATACTTCTGCTCTGTACCTTCCCTAGCTGCTACATCGGCCGCCTCATTCTTTCCAATACCGGAATAACCAGGCACCAATCTAACATCCACTTATTTTGTTGTTTTTAGCGTGCAATTTATTCAGAGCTCTAAGATAGGTTCTTATCCAACTCTGTCATTTGACAGGATTTATAAACGCTTTCAGAGCTGATTGGCTATCCGAATACATTTAGTGTTTTATCTACTGGGTGCCAACTTCTTATTTGGTTCATAACTTTTTAACCACACTGTATATTTTCTTTATATTTGGCACGACAATATTCTTTAAGATGTCCAATCGATTAATTTATTATTAATTAATTTACATTTTTACAATTTATTATTAATTAATTAGTAATTAATTTACAATTAATGTAACAATTTTGTTTATGCTGCCAAACTAAATAAAGATCCTCATTATCCGATTTTAGAAAATTGGACCAGGAAGCAGACTCTCAGGACGATTCAGAAGATCCCTACAATATTAACAATGACAAATCATTTGATGATGATGACGTCAGCTACGAGCCCACGGAGTACAGGAACGGTGTCATCAAAAAGAGTAACAAGAAAAAGAAAATTTCGAGCGGACCCGGAAGGGGACGTCCAAGAAAAGCATTGGTGACCATGTACCAAAGTCAGATCAGTGGAGACAAGGATGCCATAAAAATCCGAATTAAAAAAAGCAATTTTTGTACACAGGTACTTTTTTAAATTCTTTCATAATTATAGAATAGCATTATATTTTTAGTACAAATTATTCTAAGCTAATAATTCATCATATATTTAAAAAATTCTTATTTGATGTGATTTTAATAGCGAAACTGTTGAATATTATGTAGTATTCGTATATGGCGTTTTTTTTTTAAATATGATTTTCTTTCTACAAATTTTTATATCCACTACAATCAAAAGTGAGGTTATTTGTAAAGTATTTTTGTAAAATTTTTATTTTAGTCAATAGTCGTTATAAAAACATTCTGTTTTTCGTTATCTTTGGATAATTTCGAATGCTATTGTGGAGATTTGAATTTTGTTATTAAAAGTGTAAATGTCACATCATATGTAATAGAGACTGTAATTCGCTGCTGTGCGAATTTCGTGAAGATAGCCCTAATTCGGCTGATATTCTAGAAAACATTAATGTTACACCTAAATTAACACTTTGGCCACTACGTACACACATTTCTGGTATACAGTTGATGTTTATCAGAAACTAAGTGTACCAAATTTGGTCACATGAAGTGGTAATGTTTCAAGCTGTGTGTACGTTTGGTGTACAACGTTCCTACTGTTTACGGCTAAACTCTGGCGAAGCAGTTTAAGACATACTCAACAGATGGCCGTACTATTACCGATTTTTTTTAATTCTGGCAGAGCACTTTGAGACTCCTTCAGTAGACGGCATATTAATGACTTGCAGGCGTGATTCACTGTATTAGTTTGTATTGTACAACATTACTCTTGTGTGTTTACGTTTCTAAAATTAGTAAAATAGCAAATAAAAAATTAAGTGATGCTGAACTACTTGCAATGAAGTATGACTTTATTAGAAAGGTGATGATGATTCGATGGATGATCCAAATTATCAAGATTAGTGTTCTTCTTCCTCTAATTTAGAAATTAACAGTGATGAGCAAGAGTTAGAATTCGAATCTGATCTAGAATCTCTCAACAACGATTCTGAATCTGATAATTTTTTAAATAATACTAATTATAATCCTAATGTCAATTTTGTAGGTAATTTGAAAACATTTACATTCACGGAAAATTCAGGATTCTTCCAAGTTTTTTTTGCTCAAAGGGAAGGAGATCATCCGATTAATTTTTTCGTTGTCAATGATTTATTGACAACGAAATCTTATCACCTATTGCCGAGGAAACCAACAGATATGCTGAAAAGAAAATAATATTAGGATTTACAAATGAATCATTAACAAAAACAACATTATGGGGATAAAGGAGAAACACAAATCAATCCGAAATTTTTGTTTTCTTAGGTCTTCTAATTTGGATGGGTTGAATCGTAAACCCACTTTGAAAGATTGTTTTAGCACCAATATGCTGTACAAAAATGAAATTGGAAAATTTGTTCACATGTCCCGAATAAGGTTCCTTTTGTTCAACTTGTACTTCCAACACAACGAAATTCCGTCGGATGATAGGCTCAAAAATTCCTTCCCTTGCAAAATTTTCTAAGCGTCACAAATACGGTGTAAAATTGTTTAAGTTGTGTGCAGTTACAGTAAAAGAGCAAACACCTAATGAAAAGCCAATTCGTACAAAAGTGGCGCTACAGCTTATGGAACCACTTTTACATTCAGGTCGCGTTTTGTGCACAGATAATTATTACACTAGCGTGAATTTAGCACACGAACTTTTGAACAAAGATACACATTTAATAGGCACACTGAGAAAAAACAGGAAGCATAATCCGAAAGTAGTAAGTGAGGCTAAGTTAAAAAGGGGTGAATTAGTCATGAGACAGAGCAACAGTAAAGTCATAATGGGTAATGGAAAAACAAAAGAGATGTCATGTTTCTCACTAAGGAGTCTGTGCTTTAAATAGCGGATGTGCCAACAAAAAGGAGTGAGGTGAGGTGAGAAAGCCCACAATCGTGTGGTAAAATAATGTGAAATCATTTATAGACGTCTCTGATCAAAAAGCATCATAATCATCAGCAATGCGTAGGGGTATTAAATGGTATAGGAAAGGCTCAATAGAACTTTTGGTTAATACATCTATTATAAATGCACATACTGCATACGAGGCTATAACAAACAAAAAATAAGTGTCACTAAATTAAAAAACAAAATCGCCTTAAATTTTTTGTATTCAAAATCTTCAGATTGAAAATTTGGATGATCGTCGTGTTAACCAAGAAAGAAATCACAAATTTTCCGAAGTGGAACAGAGGTCGTTGGACAAGATGTTATAAAATTAATAGTGATAGAAATGGATCGTAACCTTGCTATAAAAGAAACAACTTGTTAACACATCTTGTCTAGCATGCTGTGAGAAGTTCTTGTGTACAAACTGCTTTTTTGGTACTCATTACTGTCAAGCAAAAAAATGAACATTGTGTCCAAAAATGGTACACACAGTTTCTAAGAAGATAATTACGAGTTTATTTCTGTCACAAACTGTGTGTACCATATTTTGACACGGCGTTTACACATGATTTTTTTTTTCATAAAAATACTGTGTTTTTGTGTTTAAATGTTTTTAGTATTAAATATTGTGAATTTCACCATAAATTATAGGTTTTTCAGTTTCTGATATGAAACTTCAAATATATAGCCAGTAGCCATAGTGTTAATATTGCAAGATTAAACTCTTGTCGATTTAGGCTTTTTGTTTGATCTTTAAGAATTTAATAAAAATCTTTTCTATTATCTGTATTTGTTATCATTCTGTAACTGACTTTAATATTTTATATTTTTTTAATGGTAAAATATTTAAGTGATGCCATGTAAACAGATAACATAAATTTTATATGCTTCCACTAACAGAATCTCATCTTTCCAGATGCCCCCGAGCAAGAAGAAATCCGGTAGACGGAAAAAACACAAAGTTAACTCGGACACGGATGTCTCGGATTATGAAAAGAGGCCAAAACGCTCCAAGCCTTGGAGTACCGAAAATGATGTTTCTAGTACGCAAGAACATGAACCTATTGAACAAAGTGTGTGGGGGGATCCCGAAAAAATACCAATTCCTGTGCTTGAAAGGATATTTGACCATGTTGTGAATCAAGAAGGTTGTCTACCTTCATTAGTGAGGTTAGTATTTATATGTTAAGGGAAAATGCTACTGCTAGTATAGCGTCCAGTTTTATATAGTCTTAGTGTACACCTACATTGGAAGCGTATTTCTACCGATCCGACATCGGGCGACGTCGGATTGAAAACAAACTCAAGGTCTTAATGCATAGTGCCTATACTGCAGTGGGAACCCCGATCAGATAACGACCGATATCGGCCGACGTCGGACTGAGTAGTTTCTCCTATCAAACTTGTTTGGTTTCATTCCGATTTTTCGTTCCGACGAGAGCCAAATGACAGAAATGGACAGAAAAATTTTGATTGATCGGGTTGAGAAATACGGTTCCATATAGGTGGACCCAAGTTTTTCTTCGGTACTGATGCATTCTCTGAAGTTAGATTGGCTTAGATTGTATAGTTTAGATTTCTATACTCATGCGGTGGTACTCTTTGAATTTATCAGGATAGTTACTTAAAATTTGGCAAGTTTTATTAAATTCTCCTGAGAATTGATCTGTCTTCATTAAATGTATGTATTCATGTACGTTTTCTTCTACTTCTTTTAAGAACGTTGTTTTCTAACAACAGCCAGCACATTAAATGTTCATCGGAACTCATTGTCGGTGGTCGGGCATTAACTGAACGAGTATAGCCACTCACGTCGGCCGACGTCGGATCGAATAATCGGCTTACATCGGACCCGATCGGATCGGGAGAAATACGCTTCCAATATAGGTGTACCCTAAATGCCTTCGCGTGGAGATCAGTGAAACATCCAGCCGTAAGTCCCCAATGTTCTTACCCTACTACTCATCCATCGGCCGACCTGATTTAGCTTGTGACGATTAATAATTCGAATCCACAGATCCTTTAAATTTTATACTGCATTTCAAATTAAAATTTCTGACTGGAACCTAGGCTCTAACTATTAATCTATCATTAAATTTTATCCTCTGGTATTTTCGAATGTGTACTTTTTACCACAATTTCTAGCCATTAACCTTTCTCATCCGGGCTAGGGACCAGCAACGGCGGAGTTGCAGATACCAATATATGCAAAAATATTTGATATTATAAAAAACTTAGGGCTTCAGGGAAAAGAGCTGTACGTTTGATGCTACTGCGATCGGAATATCGACCAGAAGGTGATCTAATCCTGTTAGATACTATTCATCTAGTAGACATATAAATTGACGCCGAAAAAGAAATCTATTGTATTATACTTTGGGTTTTGTGGCAGATGAATTTTGCGCGCAATTTGAGGTTGATGAAAATTTTGGAGAACTGACTTCAAATTGCAATGGAAGTCCAGGAAAATAATAAACTGCAATGGATATCTCATCATCTGAGGATATCGAAGATCAGTGGTTCTCAAACTTTTTTAGTCGCATCACCATTGTAGGGCTAAAAATATTTCGAAGCACACCAACCCTTGAAGCGATTTGGGAAACGACAAAAAATTTTAAAAATTATTCTGAGGTTCATTTTATTTCAATGTCCTTACTTAATGTGATGAATTAAACTGTTTTCGATGATGTTTTCATTATATCCTTTATGATTATGGGAATCTTTGTAAGTTTGACCCTCAAATCCCTTAATGCTTGAAGTTTGCTTCTGTATTTGTTTTTAATGTAAATATATGCGGAGAAAGAAGACTCACAGAGATAAGTCGATATGAACCACAAGTTTCAGTGTTTCATAGTTTTTTCACTGCAACCTTGCCAACCACATTATTTTCTGAATATTCCTGCATCCAGAACTCTTATTAGCTTCCTTCACGGTATTTGAGTTTTAAACTGCTATCTTCGCTGATCTCAAGTAGATTTTGAAAAACTTCATTTGTTAAAAATTCCGACAGGTTTATTTTTTGGATAGCACGAAAACGGGTCCATCATCCAGCTATATAAGTCATATGTGTCAATGTCAGGAAAATAGTTTACAATACTTTCTTCCAAACCTTGCAAATGAGCAATAGCAATTTCAAAGAAGTTCGTTTGAGGATTGATTTCATTTGTTATAACAAATTCCTGTAATCGAGAGAAATTTGTGACGTTCCTCTTTTCAACACATGCTTTGAAAAATGTAACTTTTTTACGCAAGGCTTTGATTTTATCTAATTGTGTTGATACTTTGCTTAAAGCGAAGTTGTGGTTTTATTTATTATTTCGAAGATATCGGAAAGGAATCCCAATTTTAGCAGCCAATGGACATCTTTTAATTCTTGGATGAAAGTCTCTCCTATAAAGTGATAATCAGTGGATCTTTTAAATAGCCTCCCTAAAATTGTTCCTCTCGATAGCCACCGGCCCTCTATGTGGAGCAAAAGATTGAAGTGATCCATACCGATATTTTCAGCGGTGAGCTTTAAAAGGCGTGCTTGAAGCGGACGGCTCTTCACATGGTTAATTATTTTCACAAAACCATCCAAACGTCTTTCAAATCTTGCGGCATCTTTTTAGTTGCCAAAGCATGGCGATGTAAGATACAATGACTGCTGGAGGCATTTTCTGCCACTACCTTTATTCTAGACACCGCCCCTCTAATTTTACCAACCATTACAGCCGCTCCATCACTGCAAATATCCACACATTTACTCCACTCTACATCATTTTTTCTTATATACTCGTGGATAGCCTTGAAAATTTCTTCACCAGTTTAAGCTCTTCACACATAAGGAGTTCTTCCATTTTCATTCCGAATGGAAACCTCACAAACACAAGCAAAACAGCAAGTCCAGCAACGTCGGTACTTACACCAAGCTGTGAACTGAATAATTCATAAGTTTTTAATCTATTTATAAGCTCTCTCTGTACAAAGTCTGAAATAGTGTGAATTTTCTTGCTTCTAGTGCTCTTTGACATCTGCACTTAATCAATTTCTTGGTCATATCTGGACCTAACATGCATTGTACGACATCCTTCACGCAAGGTTTATACCGCAAGTGGCGTTCACTTTGCAATGTGCAATCAACAATAAGGTTCATGGGGTTTTCGTTTTCATTTTTGCAGACTCTCCATCATGCATGACCCTGTCTGAAGAAATGAAGCACGACGTTTGAAGGTTTCTTCGGCCTTATCGGCTAAACCAGGATGATTACTTTCCAAATGTATTTTTAATGTAGATGTAACCAAGCACTAGCAACATTTTGTGACATACATTGCTTCTTGCCTGTCGCTGCCAACTTGAATAAAGCCATATAATTTTGGCAAGGAACCTTCTTTCCACGAATTAAGGGAGAACAACTTGGATGAGTTGGACTCGAATGGATGTCGTAGACATTTACATCTTCTCCATATCTGCTAGTTGTCACTGTATCAGTTCATTCAGATGCTTCAGTGACTTCACTACATTTCCCAGAAATGCCAGATTTCAGCCAATTTTCCATTATTCTGGAATGTCCTGTCTGAAAATATGTCCCAAATAAAAGATTTTATTTTTTTATACTTACAATCTTGATAAGTGTATCGATGTGAGTTCTCTGCATTTTTAATAATTTAGTCACTATGCCCAGTAATTTAGAAATCGATAACATCTAAGCCTACTACAGTAGGTCATTTGCGTAATCATGTGTTACTGATTATTTAATGACAATGTTTTCTTAATGGTTTAGGTATCGGAGAAGATTCTTAATCATATTAATAGGAAGGTTTATTTGTTCTTACTATGTTAGCCAATAACCTCTGGTATTACTTTATCTTATATCTCTCGAACTCCCTAACTCGTTAGAGATTCGTCATGAGGTTAAACCATATAATAAAGCGAAACAGCAATTTAATTCACATTCAGAAAAAAGTGAAAACTAAAAGATACGTCTGCAAAATCCGTACAAAAAACTAGTTTGGTCAAATTCATCTGTTTTATTCAAATGCAGTTTTGTTTCGATTGATTAGCTTATATAAAGTATCAAATTTTCGTTTTTAGATTTAGTAAAGTTTGCAAGCTGTGGAGGATGTTTCTGTTTCACCAACATTATGGCATAAAGCTGACCTAAACTTTGTAAAGGAAAGATTTAGGACTGATCTGCGATTACATTGGCTCATATTAAACAGGCTTATGGATTGTCAAGATTTAAATATGGGTAAGTTACATATCATTATATTTTCATTCCAATAATTGACATCCTTAATGTTGAATAACTATATCAAATAATTTATGTTTTCTCAGGTGAATGGAAAATTCGAGATATTCAAGCGTTTATGGAAGCTCTCTGTGAACACTGTAGTAAACTGAAGGGTTTAAATTTAAGTGGATGGAAGGGTATTTCACCTGACCATTTGAAATACATTTCTACGGAATGTAAAAATCTAGAGCGACTAGATTTGTCTTCAATTAATGTAAGTATTTTTTACACGATTTAGTATGAGATTTCTTCCGTGGAAACCGCTTTTTGTATTTTTTTAATGCAATTAAAATTATAATTCTAGTCATCAAATGAAGCACCTTTTCATTTCATTAATCTTTATCTTGCTTGTTTGTTTGTTTCTTAATTTATGAATTTCGCATTTCCCATTCGTTAGCTTTCTACGTAGAACTTTTAGGCTGTTATTTTCCTCAATAGTGCGTTTAATATTATCGGTTTTAAATTTCCTAAAATCTCTCCTGATTGCCTTTGAAACAGTTTATTCATGTTTTATTCATTCTCTTAGAGTGTATGAATGTAGACAGCCACATTCTTATCGCTTCTCATTTGTCTTCTTTAATCTAGCAGCCTTTCAGTATATGGACTTATTTTACTTATTTAACAAATAAACAAGCAACATGAAATAATATCACGTAGAGACGAGTTAATACAGGTCGTCGAAGAGTTTTACGAGGAATTATATGGAAGTAGAGGAGAAGATCAAACAAGAATACAAACAGCCATTTCAAAAAGATCATGAATCAAGGTTCAGAACTAATGAGATAAAGGTAGATGATATTCGACAAGCATTAAGAAAAATTGGCAAAGCCCCAGGAGAGGATGGAATTATAATAGAAGCTATCCTAAATGGAGGGAATAAGCTATTAAATAAATTAAGGAAACTTCAGCAAAGAGACTTGCCCAAAGAATTGACCAATGCTATAACCATCCTTTTGCATAAAAAGGAGATAAAACGGACCTAGAAAATTATAGACCTGTTAGCCTGTTGAACCACATACACAAGCTCTTCACTAGGTTAGTGACATCAAGATTGGAGAACAATTAGATTTCTACCAACCGAGAGAGTAGACAGGATTCCGTTGAAATTATGGCATTCAATGATCACCTCCATACAGTAAAGACACTCATTGAAAAATCTAGAATACAACAAACCTCTTGTCCTCACTTTCGTAGATCTTCTTCCTTGAATCTTCTCCCTGTATTATCAGTCCTCAAAATTTCATATTTTGGTCCCCTCATCACGTGGCCTAGGTATTCCAGTTTTCTGGTTTGTATAGTGGTGATTAGTTCTGTTTCTTTACCAACCCTCTCCAGTACTTCTTTATTTGTAATTCTATCAGTCCATGATAGACAATCAGTCTTAAAAGAAAAGTATTTGAGCAATACGTATTACCGGTCATGACTTATGGGGCGGAAACTATGAGTCTAACCAAGACTTCTTCAGATGCAAATCCACTAATGGATGTTAGCGATCACATTTTCCATTAATTCTCTATTTCTTGCAATATGTATCAGAGATTGTATGTCGTTAATCCCTGTCCATTGCCTTGTGTTTCGGAGCCAGGACATTTTCTTGCGTAACATTCCTCCCTTGCCTTCAATTTCAACTAACCAAGACTACAGCTTCGAAATTGAGAGTGTCACAGAGACGAATGGAACTGTATATGCTGGGAAGAGCATAAAAGCGATAAAAAACGAAGATCTGTGAAGAAGGATGAGTATTGCTGATGTTGTGAAACACATAATGGAACTGGACAGGCCATGTAGCGAGAATGCACGACTCACGATGAACGAGCAAAATTACAAATTGGAGGCCAAGAGCAGACGTGATAAATGAAGGCTAAATCATGATGATGATGATGAATCTTTTTATCTGAGACTACTTTCTATTCTTAGCTCTTGTTCCTTCTTTTAGTTTCTTAAGATCCATACAAAACTTTTTAAACCTAAACCATTGTTTAAATAATGTTCTTTCAAAGATTAATTTTTTGACACTAAATAATTTTTTTTTGTCACTGATCAATTTTTTAAATCTGAATATCCCTTACTTACCCAAACATTTTGCTTCAAATTTGAAAGCAGTAATGAGTCGATTACCCTTCTTATCTGTGGATAAAATTTGTAAATTTGGCAAAGGAAGGCCCATTACAATCATTTCTAATCTTTCTTGATTTTGGCGCCTTAAAAAAAGCGATACAATCAAACTGCAGATTAATCGTTTAAAATATTCATAGCCCGAAGCCCGCTGAACGCGGCCGAATTAATCGCCTATGAAAACGATAAAATCAATCAAAATAATTACTTCTGAGATAATCAAAAAAAAATGGTTCTTTTATTTTAAATATGTCAAAATTTATAAATCACAATTTTGAAATAAGTAATTTATAATAATGAATTATTATTGTACATTTGAAGAGGTTAGGGGACGCTTACCTTGCCTACCCTAACGGGCGCCGCCCCTGGTAATTATTTGGATAGATGTGAATACCTCTTACCATGTTTCTAGTATTTTATTTTTTATGTTGACTGATTTAATCGATTTTAAATACCATTTTAGTTTACTTCTCCCATAAATGCACAACCGTTAGTCAATTTATGTCAGAGTATGGCAGGTCGGTTGACTCATCTAGTTTTGGCTCACAATAAAATTGCCAATTTCACACAAATTATGGCAGCCATTGCGGTAAGTACAATTTTATATAGTACATTATAATAGTATAAAATGAGACAGTGGTGAACACTATATATTGACGTTTAAATATCAGAAATACGTAAAATAAAAATTCTGAAAACTGTTGTTTTCAACACTTCCACAAAATTTATTTTAATAGTTGGGAATAGTTACGAAAGTTAGGAGAAGTCCATCATTGTGTGTTATAATATAATGTGCAACAGACCTATACCAAAACATTATTGCTTTCTTCTTTAATTAGTTTTAATAGTTCTATACGAAGATTCAATAGTATAAAGATTTATCTGAATTCGAGTTATCTCTGTGTTAGAAATATTTTTCCGAATTCGAGCTATTTCTGTTAGATCGCATAGTTATGGAATAATATATAAGTATGTTGTAATGTATAGCAATCAATATCAATAGTAGACATCATTATTAGGAAAACATGAATAAATAATTAATGCTATAGAGATGATTAATAATATCACATGAATGGTCAATACGATTGTTACTGTTTTATTGTAATACTGTAATTCGCATATATATATTGTTATTCTTTGTATTATTGATTTTTCTACGGTTTGTAATTAATATTTTAACTTATCTGAATCTTAAATTTTTTAGACAAATTGTCCAAATCTTCATCTTCTGGATATATCCAACATCAGGACGTTTGCTCACAACATGTCATTGTTACATATTGAGAAACTACAAATAGGATGCCCAAACCTAAGGGTTCTTCGGATCACTAATAGTCAGATTTGGTTGGCGGCAGCTAGTTTAACTGAACAGGTATGTTGTTTTTGTAAATTATTTAAATTATCTAAAATCGGTAGTTCGTTATAAAAATAAAATCCACAAGGAAAACAATTCCTGTAGCTGGCTGTATACCACGTATCACAAAAAAGAGGTTAGTCTTCGTAAGTGGGTATATTTATTTAAAAAAACCCTTAAAAGGGCTACATCAAAAAAACAAACGTTTTCGGACTAAACAGTCCCATCATCAGGTTTAGATTTTAAAATTGCCTAAAATAAGTATAAACCATTTAGTTAAAACAAACGTGGTTATGAAATTTTGACTATGGTTAAAAAGCAAAAATGGCTATACTTACTAGGTTAAAATGCCTGAGCCACCAAAATACATGGGTAAAAACCCTTTAAATTACATATAGTTGTAAAAGATTATACATCTTGTTGTTAAAAACTGTGATGTTCAGTATTAAATTAAATATGACTTCAGGTAACATACATTGTTGAATTGAGTTCCAGAGCCGGGGAGTAAACCTCTACACACGGAGAACAGCTGGAAACTGATTGACAATATACCTATGAACGGTGTCAAAAACAAAATGTCAATGTAACATGGAACTATATTAGTTATACCTAGTATTACTACAACCAAAAGATTCAAAAATTATTTTGATGATTTTAAAAAATAATAACAGCAATCTAGGTGTTGGGATTTAAAATTTGGGTTATAATCGATGTGAAATCACCGATGGTGTTAAAGTCATGTTTAAGAGGATGACCTGTGTATTAGGCAACCTATGTTACTTTTTGTCGTATGGAATGTGGTCTAAAAGTGTATTTTATGTTAGATTAGCTTATATATATATATATATATATATATAATATATATATATATAATATATATATATATATATATATATATATGAAAATTATCCTTTTATGTTTATCACATCTAGGACAGGTAAAAATTTTAATAGCAAATATTTGAAGCTAATATAAGACCTCGTATTTAAATGACTTTATTTAAGACTGTTAGTATGGTGAAAAAATTAATAAAAATAAGTTTGGTAAATTGAAAATCTACAGGCTGAAGAAATTAGAGTTATAACCTATGTGATTAAATTTAAAATTGAAGAGGCTGAGCTCCTCGGAGACTTGATGAGAATAAAAGTAGAGGAAATGACTGAAGAAGAAGGGGATGGTTAAAGGAGAAAAGGAGTTAATCAACAATTAGAGATAATAGGGGTCCTTCATGCTTACAGCATCTAGCACCCTGAACAAAATGTATTTTAGTAGTAATAAATTCGGTTTGTAAAAACCTAAAATTTGATGTATGAGTGTGCTACTAAGTTGTTGACCAAGAGAAGGTGAGCAATGTTGGATAAGGATTTTTTTTGTAATAGGGGAAAATTATGAATTTTGATAAACGGTTAGATAATGTTTGAATGATTACTGAGTTTAAAACTATTGAGTGCATGTTTGATATATGAGTTGACCAAGAAATAATGAAAGAAAAGAATGGACAGGAATGTGATGTAGATGTGAAGAGTGAAGAAAATGATAAAATATTATGGTATGATAGATGTGGGTGGTTCTGAAGTTAACACTAGGGTCGAAAAGTTATGAGGGGAAGGTGTGGCAAAAGTTTAGAGAATGGTTGTTTGAAGAAACACAAATATTATGAATTTTGATAAAATGTTAGATAATGTTTGAGAGAATAATGAGTTAAAACTATTGAGTACATGTTTGATAAATGAGTTGACCAAGAAATAATGAAAGAGAAAAGAATGGATAGGAATGTGATGTAGATGTGAAGAGTGGAGAAAATGGTGAAATATTATGGTATGATAGATATGGATGGTTCTGAAGTTAACAATAGGGTCGAAAATTTATGAGGTGAAGGTGTGGCAATAGTGTAGAGAAAGGTTGTTTAAAGAAACACAAATATTGTATAGGATTAAAGGTGTTGAAGTTTGTATAGGATAGTCGGGCAAAGAAAGTAAGGCAATATTGTGAAGCGTGGACTATGAGAAGAGTTGTCGATGTAAGGGTTGAAAGTCCCGGTTGAACGATACATGACGATTAACGCAATTGGGGCTACTTTGCTTTTCTTTGACTATTTCCAAGTCTTCATATAGATCTAATTTTAGAAAATTTTTTTGAGGGATATTATGTAACAAAGAGACATCTTCTGGGATGTTGAGGGTATGTTTATGTTGTGCAAGATGTTGTGAGAAGGTGGAAGTGTTCTCTTTTTTAGTGTGTTCTAAGGAACGGGAAGTTAGTGATCTACAGGTTCTACCTATATATGTAGCATTGTGCTGCTCTGATTGTGATGATCCGATTTTTTTCGTTATACAAATGATCCTAAAATTTATCCAATGAAACCGCTAAGGTTTAATGCTCCTTGGCATAAAAACTTCAATTTTAATGAGTCGCATAATTACATACCTTTTGGTACATATATGTACCACCCTATATTGGTATAGATACCGACTGGTACATATCTATACCACATAAACAATACATGCAAAAAAGAGTAATGAACATCATTTGGACATAACAAAGGATTAACACTATTCGCAGACAAACACAGTAAATATTGGTCACAAAAGTGCATAAATTACTATCTTTTTGGCCTAAATATTGAATTTTGTGGGAGCAGTACGTCCGTAATTCCACTAAACTATGGCAAACACGCGTTAACTAAATAAAAAGGGACGAATTTTTTTGTACTGTTATATTCAATACACATTGCTGAAGCTTAAAACCCCGGCTTGGTACAGTTTTCGACGAAATAGAGTCTGAAAATCTTTTTCGATTATTATTTTTATATAAGAATAAACTTGAAAAAAATATAGTTTAAGTTAATGTCGCCTCTTCTGATTTAAAATGTTTTGTACATGTAGATATTTATTTACCAATATGCTTATCTTTTTCTGGAGTTTAAGCTTTTTCAACATTACTTCTCATATTTCATTTAAAATTCCATTTTTACTAAATTCTTATAATTCTGAGATCAAATTGGTAGGAAATTCTCTTTGTATCGTAGGTTGCGTCTCCTGGATTTCCTCGCTTGGAAGAACTTTCTCTTGCTGGACTGGAGGAAGATCAAACGACTACTTCTAGATCAGTGGACGACGATTGTATAGAACGTCTACTAAAGAATAGTACCAAACTAAGACTATTGGATGTCAGGGGGTGCAGCAAGCTGACCGATTCTGGATTGGTAAGAGTACCGGCTTGGGATCTTGAGCATCTCTTTTTGAGTGGTAAGAAATTTTTTTATTATTTTAAAATTTTAAATATGTATGAATTATTAAGAGGTCTGGTAAAATTTTGATTTTATTGAGACTAGCGAGAAAATAAAAAAAATATTACACATAGAATTTTTTTATATATATTTTATGAGATATAGTTACTATTTATTTTAACTATCTGATATTTTCAAAATTAACAAAATATAATTATTTTACTCATACACTCGTATATTGATAAGAGTCCATAATGTCAGTCCATTATCTAAGTAAGCTCATCTTTATAACAGCTGAATTTATATGTGATACATGACCAAAGCTCAATCTGATAGTAAGCTATGGATGTCAAATTTAGGCGTTTAGTCAAAAAAATATAAACCGCATTGACATATTCGAAAGAAAGGTACTGAGAAGAACACGAATACGCCCTATAAATGAAAACCACAGGTGGCGAATCAGATATAATTATGAAATATATAATAAACTTTGAAAATAAGGCTATTATCGAGCACAAGTTATTAAATCAAGCCCAAGTACTTTGCTTAAAATAGCATCTTCAGGGGCATTTCGTCAAAATGTGAACTATCCGGCAAGCGTAGAATGTGGAAAACATTAAAAATAACATAAAATTGTACAAAACACTACACTAAAACGAGGACAAACAGTTTAAAATTACTTAAAGATTCTACGCTACATTCTGACAGAGAATCTTTAAGTAATTTTAAACTGTTTGTCCTCGTTTTAGTGTAGTGTTTTGTACAATTTTATGTTATTTTTAATGTTTCCACAACAAATGTTTATTTTTTAACCTCTTGATATTTTAAACTTTTTATTATTTTTCTCATTAGTATGGTTCAGTTTAAGTTGTGTATTAATCAAATCAATCTAGAATTTTGGATTTTCTTGATTGGACACTGATTGGGATTGGGATTACCCACTGGTTAAGGGTTTGCAAATTTTTGTTACCAAAATTGGCACCATGTCTTCAGGATATGCTGGTAAATTGGCTGTTGTGTTTCTGTAAAGCCAAGTGGAAGTGATAAACACCAAAAATGCTAATAATATATTCCGACGCCCTTACATAACCTGGAGTTTTGGAGCTTTATACATAATGGTTAAAGGTCGAAATTGCAAAATGAGTTTTTTTTTATCGAGGAACATTTATTTGTTGAGATTCAGTGAACAGGCTTGTCTTTTTATAATACTTATTGGGGCCCTTATTGACCTGCCCTTCGTGATAAATATAGAAAAAAGAATTTTCTGTTTTACGATTATGTATGCAAAATGCATTAACCCTAGTTGGGTCTTACAAAGAGACTTCTTGTAAAGGTGTCATGTTCTATGCAAAACATTTTGCATATAGTCAAATGCAAGCCCTACCACGTCGTTCCCATCGTGATACTCTTTAACAGTATCATTTAAATTCGTATAAAACTTGTTGGCCCTTTTTTTGTGTACCAACAATTCTGCAACAACCACTTTTTTTGAGGCATCTCTCCCAGAGAGACACTTTTGATTTTTAAATTCAAATCTTCACATTTTACGCACGTGTCTCTTTGAGGACGACCAAATTTCAAAGTAAAGTTTTCGCGAAAAAATGTATAATAATAGCTGTATTTAATTTTCGTTACAGGATACTTGGATCTAAACATTTCGTACATATTTTTTATATTAAGCCTACTATCTAAATATTTATATTCTTTTCCCAAATAGTGAGTTTATTTTGCTGGATAACTTTGAATGTGCTGACGAATTAATATGTTTTGAGCTTCTGACATTGTCCGTTTAATATTTTTGCCACGTTTATCTCTAGGAGTCAGATTATTTTTAATCAATGATTTTATTTGCTTTTTGTTTGCCACACACACAATTTCCCATCTAAAAAATATCGCATCTATATACTTAAGCTATTCAATATATAACTTTATTTAACTTACTTGCAAGCACCTCCGATTTGCCTGGCAACAACCATCTTGTCTTTATAGTTTGTATACGCAGTACCACTGACTCTAGCTTTTTTTATTAAATTTCTTAATTATCGGTAATTGTCGTCATTTCTCACACCTCGCCGTTTTGTTCTAAGATTATCTGTTTTTGTGATTATATGATTGAGATGGTTCCCCTTCACTTTTAGTGCTTCTATTTTCGTCCTAACTAGACATATTGCCAGAAAAGTGTGATTGTATTACTCTTAACTGCACACAGTATGGAAGTCGGTAAATCACTGAAAATATTTCGCGACACGAGGCTTGCATTTTAAAACGAAAACAGAGCGCAAGGTCAAATACAGCATGACACAAATTTAAATATTTATTTCTTAAAGGGACTAAGTTAGTTTACTTAGGTCCTTTCTGCTCTAAAACCATTATTTTCTCACACAGAAATGCAAGTAAGGAATAATCGAATTTAGTTCATTTCTGCACCAAACGGTAGGTTTTAGGTCAATAATTAATTTCTCATATTAAAAGAAAAATGGCCGAAATAGCACTTAAGTTCTTTCAGAAATAATCGATTCATATAAAGAACCAACTTTATTTCAGTATGTCCGCCTACAGCGTCTCCAGTCATATATTTACGATGAAAGAAAACAGGCTTCCAAAAGAACTGTTTGAATGTAAGAATGCACGGAATGAGACTTATTGGAAGACCAAGAAAGTGACGGGAGAATGATGTGGATGAAGACGCCAGAAATCTCCTCGACCGTCGATCGTGGAAGAAAATGGCTACAGACTATAAAGGATGGAGGAGGAATTGGGCTGTAAACCCATTCAAAATAGGAGAGATCAAAGAACTACATTTATAAAATACCTTGTGAATGCAACAATTTTATTTAGGAGAAACTTCAAGACCACTAAGTGTTAGAATGAACATGTATCATAGAATAAAAACAGGGACTTCTACAAATCCCAAACATGTCTGAAATAATGAGCACAGTCTGCAATACAAAAATGTATCAATAGTCACGAGATAGTAGGCTCTGGTTACCAGTATTGAAAGAGTAAGTCAGCAATAAGAATATACCAGCAATAACGAGTTGATACCATCCAGGGAGACACGTCATCTATAAGTAACTATGTAAGCACAGAAAGATCAAAATTTGATATCCTCCGAGGGTATTGATCAAACCCTCTCGTAATTCTTAAAAGTTTTATATCCAGTAATTGGATATCGTCACCATGTTGTTAGTTTCAAATATTAATCAGAAGTTAATTTAACGCGAAGAAGCTTGTCAGATCTCAAGTCGAGTCAGCACAAGCCAAATTCTACCAACTTAAAAAAACTTTAACGTACTTGGGACGGTAATATGCGTTGCCTAACTCATATTTAAATTATATATATATATATATTATATATAGTAAACTCTTAAATATTGGGGAAATCTGCAAAAAAACTCTAATGTGTATCAATTATTTCACCTAACGTTTTTCGCCAAAGAGAATTTGGCTTCTTCAGGGCTGAAAGAGAATAAATTATAATTAGCTACCATATATTATTCTAATAAAAAACATTTACCTTACCGTGAAATTTTAGATATTTTATTAGATAATATATGGTAGCTAATTATAATTTATTCTCTTTTTAGCCCTGAAGAAGCCAAATTCTCTTTGGCGAAAACGTTAGGTGAAATAATTGATACACATTAGAGTTTTGTTGCAGATTTCCCCAATATTTAAGAGTTTACTATTTAACTTATCTGCAAAGATACAATTTCTTTTATATATATATATATACTATATATATATATATATATATATATATATATATTTTAAATTACATGTTACTGATTTACTACTTGCCGGAACGTTGCAGCACTATAAAAAATTATTTTTGCAGCTTGTTATATAACCAGGCTACAGAATTCTGGTTTGGAATTAATTGTTCAAAAATGGTCTCACAGTCTGGTAGAGGTTGATTTAGCTTGGAGCACGGCCACAAATCCATTGGATGCCGCTGTTTTGGCATTAGCCGAAAAAGGATCAGAGTCGAAAATAAGGTAAGCTCGTATATATTTAAAACTGCGCGAAGATGTAATTTTAATCGAACGCCTTTATATTTTATTGTTCGAACGCAATTATAGTTTATTCGTCTTCCGGGTTTGGACCGTGTCATTTGTGAGTGACCCAAAAGTGGGGTTCATCCTCGACGTTTCGCTACAATTGTATGTAGCTTCTTCAGAAGAACAAAGAACAAGAAATCAAAAGACAGGAAGATGGGTAGTTAGCAACGGTAACTCAGTTACTCAACGCAACCAGAGGTGAATACTAACTACCAAGATGGGCATTTGGTCACAGTAACTCAACTACTTAACGCAGCCAGAGGTGAAAACCAAATGCCAGGACAGGGATTCACGTCCAACTGCTCAGAAACACTAACGCGTCGAGAGGCGGGAAGTGAATCCGACGATTACTCCGCTAACCGCTCTATTTATAGTCGCGGTGACCTGTCGTGTCGGGACGTATCGGCATCGACAACATCGAGTATAAATTTCACAATGGAAGTAGAAAATAATCGGTCCCTTCCCTTTCTCGATGTGTTAGTCACCTCCAAGCCCAATGGCTGATTGGGCCACTCTGTTTATAGAAAAAAGACTCACACGAATCGTTACCTACATGCTTCATCACACCACCATCCTGCCCAAAAGAATTCTGTGATCAACTCTCTCATCCATCGGGCCATTTCGATTTCTGAACCTGAGAACCTTAGAGAAGAACTTGGCCATCTGCAAAAAACCCTTGTCGCCAACGGTTACTCCAAGTCCACAATTTAAAATATTACACACCGACATCTACATTCCCCTTTACACCCTAGGACGACAAATTCAGAATCTTCGGGTAATACTCCTGTGGTTTTTCTTCCGTATGTTCGAAGTGTCACTGATAGGATTGGCAAAATTCTTCGCAAAGAAGTTATCAGGACTACTTTTCGACCACCCAAGAAAATCTCACAATATCTACCCTCTCTTAAGGACCCATTACCGCCCCTATCTTCCTGTGGTGTCTATTCTATTCCTTGTTCATGTGGACATGTGTATATTGGCGAAACTGGTCGTTCCGTCAAAACTCGGATTCAAGAGCATTAAAGATGCATTCGATCAGATCTTTTCTCCCATTCTGCAGTTGCAGAATACTGCCAAGAAACCGGTCATTCCATATTGTTCGAAAAAACCCATATTATTTCTAAGAACCCCTTCTTTTATTCCAGGAAAATCCGCGAATCTCTAGAGATCCGAAAAAATTCACATAATATCAATCGAGAGGAAGGATACTACTTGTCTCCCATCTGGAATCTCAGTCTAGAGCCGCCGTCCGGTCCCGCTACCACGATGCAGCCACATGATTGGCCAGCGCGCGCTTCTTGACGTTCGCGCCACGGAGTGTGCCGATACGTCCCGACACGACAGGTCACCGCGACTATAAATAGAGCGGTAGCGGAGTAATCGTCGGATTCACTTCCCGCCTCTCGACGCGTTAGTGTTCTGAGTTGTTGGACGTGAATCCCTGTCCTAGCATTTGGTTTTCACCTCTGGCTGCGTTAAGTAGTTGAGTTACTGTGACCAAATGCCCATCTTGGTAGTTAGTATTCGCCTCTGGTTGCGTTGAGTAACTGAGTTACCGTTGCTATCTACCCATCTTCCTGTCTTTTGATTTCTTTTTATTTGTTCTCCTGAAGAAGCTACATACAATTGTAGCGAAACGTCGAGATGAACCCACTTTTGGGTCACTCACAAATGACACGGTCCAAACCCGGAAGACGAAATAAACTATAATTCTGACTCTGGCCGTGGAAGCCTACGATTTCATTTGCCTTTAAACTCATTAAAAAAACGGTGATAATTGTGTAAACTAATGAAGCCGTTAGTTAGAAATTAATATATCGAAAAAATGGGCGATTATTTAGATACTCACATTATTGGTTTATTAAAATTACTGCAATATGTGACACAAGAGTATTTCAAATAATTTTTAAACTCTTCACCACTGGTTTATGGCATTACTTTGCAGATTATCAGCAGTACCATAAACACGGCGTTATCAATATTTTTTTAAAGGGAGTATAACAGTAATGAGTGGTAGAGCTTATGGATTTTTTAAACTGCTATGAGCTTAAAATTATCTGCGCATCAGGTCGTCCAAAATTATTAAATTTTATAAAGTCGGTCACCTTGAGACGCGTGCACCATAATCCACGAAACATGCAAATACATCTTTTCTTCGGTCACGGCATTTTTGTAATAGGATGTTAAGCGCAAAAAGTGCCTCCCTGGTTCCTACCAGAAAAATAGCATTTCTACAACCAAATTGGGTATCTTCAAGAGTGTGGCTCATTAGGTTAATTAATCGATATTCTGAGCATTTTCTCGCATTGTGTTTTTTAGGTATTGCGATAAAGATGGATTTGAGCCAATCTGCGGGAATCACTCCGGTGTTATATAATGAATAAAGTCTTACTACTACTTTTATGTTATCATTCTTTATTAGTTTCAGCAACTCAGTTGGTGTATCATCTGGACCACAAGCTTTCCTAATTTTAGCATTGTTTATAGCGTTTTCTACCTCGCATTTCATAAGTTCTGGGCCGTCAGTACAGTTTTAGTAGAATTCGGCAATATTATTCCTGTCATTTTCAAACAACTCTGATATATACAGCTGCCATTCTTTTCTTATTTCGTGCTCATTTACAATAATTTTGTTATTATTGTCAACGAGTACAGAGGGAACTAGTTTTTTAAATATATTACTCATTTCTTTTAGCTTTTTGTGCACATTAAATAAGTCGCGTTTAGATATTACATCCTTCATTTCGTCGCACCTTTCTCTCATCCATTGTTCTTTGGCTAATTTGATTTCCTTTTTTATTCTTCTCTGCAGGTGTCTATATTCTGTTACATTAGATTTTATTAGTCGACGTTGTTCCATTAATTTCAAGATGTCGTCTGTCATCCATTTATTTTTCTTGATTAAGTTTTTTCTATAATCATTGGTTGTGGAGATTTCGTTAACTTGGTTTTCAAATTCACTCCATAGTTCTTCTGGATCTTCTAGTTGTTCTCCGATGTTTTTTATTCTATTAAAAATCCACTAGGAAACTAAGTTCCTGTAGCTGGCTGTATCATATCACAACTGTGTAACAATGTGTAACATATCACAAAAAATTTATTTCAAATCCTTTATAAAAGGTATATAATAAAATGCCCAAACGGGATATCACAAATATATTACAAAACGTTTTCGGATTGTTAAATCCATCATCAGTGTAAACGAGGTATATATGCTATGAGCCACCAAAATATATGGGCCAAAACCCTTTAAATGATATAAATTTACAGTTGTTTTATGAAATGTAATGTAAAACAACTGTAAATTTATATCATTTAAAGGGTTTTGACCCATATATTTTGGTGGCTTATAGCATGTATACCTCGTTTACACTTATGATGGATTTTACAATCCGAAAACGTTTTGTAATATATTTGTGATAGCCCGTTTGGGCATTTTATTATATACCTTTTATAAAGGATTTGAAATAAATTTTTTATTCTATTGTTAAATTCTTTTTTAATGTTGTTTTATGTTTAAATCGTCAAAGTTAAGTTCATTGGTTTTTGGTTTTTGTCGCTGAATTCGTTTTAACCTTAGTTTAATATCAGCTACAAGTGGTTGATGATCACATCCAATACCTGCCCCAGGATATGTAGTGACTTTTTTGAGGGCATTTCGGAAACGCTCATTTACAAGTATATAGTCTATTTGATTTCTTGAAGACTCAGGGTTATTGCCATCATCAAATGGGGATCATCAAATGGGGCTTTCCAAGTGTATAGTCGTCGCTTGGGTAGTTTATACCAGGTGTTTGCAATGATCATATCGTTTTCTTTACAAAATTTATACAATCTCTATACTCGATCGTTAGGTTGTCCTAGACCATAAGGACCTACAGTCTGACCTTCCCCAATTTTTGCATTGAAGTCGCCTATAATATATAAAATTTCGTGTTTATTAAGTTTCTGTAAGATGTCTTGGATCTGATCATGCAATTTTTCGACTTCATCGTTATATTTTCTATCTGCAGTCGGGGCATAGATTTGAAGTATGTTAGTTTTAAATGGTTGAGTATTTATTTGGAGTAATATTATTCTATCCGAGACTGGTACGAAATTGGTCACATACTTACTCAGTTCTGATGTTACTAATATACCTATACCCTTCTTCTGATGCGGGTCTTCTGTGCTCTTACCGGAATAATATAATACACTTCCGTCCTTTTTACATGATCCTGACTCTGGCCATCTCATTACGCTGATTCCCAGTAGGTCTATTTTCATTCTTTTCATTTCTTGAATTGCGTTGTCAAATTTCCCAGACTTAAATAGACTTCTAACATTCCACGTGCACATTCTAAAATTAGATTTCTTCATTTTTCGGATTTCTTCACGCGGTTTTCGCATGTTTACAACCTGAGAGGCGTCGTTTGCCATTGCAGTGTCAATTTTATGGTGATTTTCCTGGGGTTGCTCTATGAGTCGTTAATGCAGTGGCTCCCCTTTGCCTTCTACATTCTCATGCCGTTGACCATTATTTGTTGATTTATCCGCCTTCTGGGCCGATTTCTCAACTCTACAAGAATGCCCTACCACTCACCAACTCATCCGCCCTAAGCCGTTGTTCACTAAGTAGGGGATTGCTTATACCGGCAATTGAAATATATAACGAATGTTGTAAAGAATTTTAGTTGTTTTGGATTTGTCTCAAGCTGCCCCACTACTTGAACCAGGTTGTGACAAAAAATAATATTTTTAAAAATAATTAATAAAAAAAAGTAGTTTGTGATTACGAAACTGTTATTTTTCTTTGATTATAAATACATTCTATAACTTAATTTTGAATTTGAACCAAAAAAAAAATCGGTGATAAACAGCTTATATCATCAAAAATATGAAAAATGTCTCAACGTGGCACACTCTACCCCTACGTTCGAAGCGTAAATTTGTACTTTGTGCATGCATGAGTAGCTTTTTATATAATATAAAATAGCCATGAATAGCCATTTAAATAATCCACTACCTCTAATACCAATATTTTAAAAGATTATATCCAAATTTTCTATATTATAATAAGGATAAGATTTTAAATAAGGTGCTATTTTTGTCATCTATCTTTGAAACTTATAACTGTCCAGAAATATTATGCTAGATCAAGGTTATTAAAAATAGACAGGTTGTCTGGTAAGGTGCTATTTTTGTCATCTATCTTTGAAACTTATAACTGTCCAGAAATATTATGCTAGATCAAGGTTATTAAAAATAGACAGGTTGTCTGGTAACTTCACACCAATCAGCGTCGAGAATCTAACGGCGGGAATGACGTCACTGAGAATGCTATATTCAAATTCATTCATTTTACTCCTTGAAATGAACTCGAAAAGCAGCAATGATTGTAAATATATTAATCTACGTATATTGAAAAAAATACGTTTGGACTTTTAATAACTATTTATTTCATTCAATCTTTAAAAAATGAGGGAGATAAGTACCTGCAGAGTTACAGAAATGGTAAAATATTATTGCAGCTAAACATATGTAGTAGAATAGCATTATTATATTAAATTATAAGTAGATTCTTTCTTGTGTATACATGTGACTAAAACATGTTAATATACTATATTAATAATGGATTGAATACAATTTATTTTTTTTTAATTATTTTGAATTGGAGATAATGCATGTAGTGGATTATTATAAATTCCTCCAAACAAGTAAACCATGCTGAAAAAGATATTCAAATATAGATTTATATATCAGAATTAGTAGTTTTCTCCTTAGCATCAATATATTTAAGGAACATCTGATTACATTACGGGATTATATAATAGAATATAAAAAATATTAAAACATGATTCCAATAAATAGATACCGTTACCGAATAGATAAGTTATACATAATTAACAGTAATTTATAAAAATATATCAGTGAATTAACACATTGTTACTGAACATTTAAATGACTTTACCTACTTACCATCTTTTTTTAGCTTTTTAGGTTGTATGTTTAATAGTTTAGCTTTTAAAGCATCCTCATAATCTTCCATGTATAGTGGAATAATGTATAGCGGAAAGTGTATACTACAAACTCTTTTATTAAAACAGGACCACTTATCCTTCCTATGACACTTGCTCATCCATTGCTTTTGAATTTTTACATTTTTTGGAAATGTAAAAAACATTAAATTCCTTTCATCCTTTTTGGAATATTTTGAATAATTTTTGCAGATTACTACACTACAAATATTTCCACCAGTCATCTGAATCAATAAAAAAATTGAATTAAATTATGTTTTTAACTTAATGCATATAATTTATATTGTACGTGTATAAGAGTTTTGGGTCCAATTTGTATACTAAAAATCACTCAATAATATCCTATAGACATATTATATCTCAAGATATTAACATAAACTAAAGCACTAACTATATTGAACAACAAAATATATTCTCCAAACCACATCTCCTATTTTGTTTTCAAACAATTCGTAAAATTGACCCCCTGGGTGACGTCACACGTCGTATTTCATTCTGTCAATGTCAGAGTTACCATGCAACCTCCCTTTTACTAACCTTGATGCTAGATGGACTTATGTTTTGCCGTCACAGAACTTACAATAAAATCGTAATTTTGTTTTCAGATTTTTGAATCTTTGCGGCTCCTCCGTCAGCCTCGAACCAGTGAAAGCAGTATTGGAAAAATGCCCAAGATTGTATTCAATAAATTTACAATCATGTCGAGCGCTACCTCGCGGGATAAAACGTCTTTACACCGGTAGTCAAGTGGACGAACTACGCAAGAGTTTGCAGGACAAGCCAAAGACTGAAGCGATCGAATCGGAAACTGACCAGTCACCGGCGCAAACGACTGTTTCACCGAGAAATGAATAAAAACTTTGTTGAACGTGTTTAGGATGTTTCTTTTTGGATTGATTTTTATTGTCAATTGCGTGAGTTGAGGAAAAGTGGGAAAGTGAATGTGTCTTTGTCATTTTTACAAACACGATTATATCTTCTTTTAAATAACCGTTGATTATGTACAAGATAACTGTTTTCATTAACGATATTTTTTAACTTGCTTTATATAGATAGCTAGTTAACATTTGATGCTTGAATTTTAATATTAGTAAGTCATATTCGTGGCATAGAAAAAAAAGTTGATGCAGGAAATCATTGTTCGAATATACGATTAAAGTAATTTAAGAGTATTGGCCATGTAAACGAACTATAGATGCAGAGCAAATCTAGCACGTAGGAACACAAACCAAACTCCATAGCCGTAGCACGTGAGACATCGTTTTAAGTGAAGCAATCTCTATGTTTATTACCTTCCATTAGTCACAGATCTCACGAACGCAGTTTGGATTCAGGGATGCGTTAGGTACAAGAGAAGCCTTGTTAGCGGTTCAGGTATTATTTCAAAGGTGCAGAGACGTCAACTGCGATATTTATGTCTGCTTTATCGACTACTAAAAAGCTTTCGACAGAATCAAGCACGATAAGCACATGGATATACTAAAGGCAACTGATCTGGATAACAAAGACCTTCGAGTAATCAAAAACATATACTATAACCAAGCAGCAACCATTCTGGTGAAAGATCAACTAACAGAGGAAGTTGCAATAAAGAAAGGAGTACGGCAAGGCTGCATACTCTCTCCCCTATTATTTAACGTCTATTCGGAACACGCCATGAGCCAGGCCTTAGAGCATATCGAAGAGGGTATTCTCATAAATAGTGAGCGCCTGAACAACATCAGATATGCAGACGACACCATCCTCTTTGCACTACTCAACTACTGTAATTTTAAGACTAGGGGACACCGGGGTTGGTTGTCATACGGGGTACGTTGACATTGTGCATTTAAATTACGCGCCGTTCATAGTAAAACATAGCGCGCCGACCTGTGCATGCACAAACCGTTGGCGCTTGTATTACCATACTTTCAGTCGAAGTTGTAACGTTATCCAGTGAATATAGTGTTGATTTGTGGTTTTACATTTGGTGAGTAATTTTTCGTTGTCGTACACTTTTTTTAATATTATCTAGTACAAACGTTTAAGTTATTTTCTGTGATGATGGTATGAAAGTATATTGATAGCTTTTTAATCTGGCGTAAACAAATTAACAGTTTATGAATTCGTAAACACGTGTTAGCCATTTTAGTTGAAAAACCGTCATCGGGGTTGGTTGGCATTTTATGAATGGGGCAGGTTGTCACGATGTGCCAACCTGCCCCGTGTATAACTATGAAATGTATTTTTGTAACAAAAGTATTATCTAACTAGGTATATTATCTAATTATTTACAGACGTAACCATGCGAACCTATAAAAGAAAAACAGAGCGAGGAAAAACACCTGCTGACGTTATGGAACGAGCTGTACGTGCTCATATTATTGATAAGTTAAGTTTGAAGGTTGTTTCGCAAGACTATAATATAGGCGTGCGCACTCTTGCACGATATTGTAAAAAAATGAAAACGGATATACTGCAAACGGAACTTGGAGGTATTCCATCTGTGCTGCATGTAGGATATCAGAAGAACAGACAGGTATAAATATTTTTAAGAGTCTAAATTTTCTTAGGTAATAACTATGATATATTGTTTTAGATCTTTAACGTGCAAGACGAAGATGCTTTATGTGAGTATCTAAAAACTGCATCTGATATTTATTATGGACTTACACCAAAGCAGGTTCGAAAGTTGGCTTTTCAATATGCTACGACTCTTAATATTACGGTTCCAACATCTTGGTCTACAAACCAAATGGCAGGGCCTGATTGGTTTACTTCGTTCTTAAAACGACAACAGACATTATCCATCAGAACTCCAGAGGCTACTAGCCAAGCTAGAGCTTCAAGTTTTAATGAACATAATGTGTCACAATTTTTTAAAAATCTTAAAACAGTTTTAGACCGACTGAAATTAACTGCGAGTGACATATATAACATGGATGAAACCGGTATCACCACCGTACAGAAACCTGATAGAGTAGTGGCTCGTAAAGGATTTAAACAAATTGGCAGAATAACGTCTGCAGAACGGGGTACCCTAGTGACACTGGCCATTGCTGTTTCAGCGTCAGGCAATTCAATTCCTCCGTATTTCATATTTCCTAGGAAAAACTATCGAGCGCACTTTGTTCGAAGCGGTCCACCTGGCAGTATAGGTGATGCGAATCCTTCGGGATGGATGACCGAGACACAGTTTATAAAATTTGCAGAGCATTTTATACACAACGTAAGATGTTCAAAAGAAAAACCAGTGTTATTGTTGCTCGATAATCATGATTCTCATTTGTCAATAACTGCACTCGATATTTTTAAACAAAACGGAGTTACTGTTTTATCGTTTCCACCTCATTGCAGCCATAAACTTCAGCCATTAGACCGAAGTGTTTATGGTCCTCTAAAAAAATACATCAACACCGCTTGCGATTTATGGATAACGAATAATCCGGGCCAAACAATGACCATATATGATATCCCAGCGGTGGTGAAGTCAGCTCTACCCAATGCAATTACTCCAAAGAATATTATGGCTGGCTTTCAAGTATCTGGAATAAGTCCATTTAATTCGGATATATTCCCTCCTGAGGAGTTTATGGCTGCTTTTGCTACAGATCGACCAATTCAAACTGCTGCACTCATTGATCAATCTCGACCGGAACTAAATGAAGTTACTGTGCCAATTAACCATCCTCTACCTGATTTAAATCTGTCTTTGGAGCAGTGTGATCCGCCTCCACTCGTGCCGATTCAAGTTACTCCGCCAACTCAGGTTAATTCACATTCTATTCCTCTTACAATCTCAACTACCAAATTCTACTGTGCAGTATCAGCAACTTCGCCTATATCATCTGTTAACGATACATCGGCTATATCATTTCCTGATGGTGTCTCTGCCCTTCCATCAACTTCCAGCACCAAGTTATTGACAAACTTAAGACCATTTCCTAAAGCTGGCGACAGAAAAACAAATACCAAACGAGGAAGAAAAAGACGTTCCACTGCAATTCTTACAGACACACCAATCAAAAAAGCTTTAGAAGAGGAAAAAAAGGCAATACAGGAGAAGAAGGCAGCAGTTTCTGCTAGAAAAAAGAAAAGAATCACAAAAAACTCTGCTTCCACTTCAACCAAAACGACGGTTGATAATGCTAAAAAAGATTTATTCAAGAGAAAAATAAAGAAAAAGCGTTCAATAGTATCTTCAGATGAAGACTCAGACCAGGATAATGCTTTCTGTCTAGTTTGCATGGAGCCACATTCCAATAGTCGCCCTGGAGAACAGTGGATCGAATGCATTGAATGCAACTTTTCAGCGCACTTCAAATGCACTGATGGCAATACTGTACCATATAGATGTCAAAACTGCGATTGTGATGAATACTAACAGTATTTCCAAATACAGATTTCTAATTATGTTATTAACTAAAAAAAGTTAACGTTGTTTGAATTCATACCTTCTTATTAAATACATTTACCTATATTTTTCGGCTTCTATTATTTTATATACCTACCCATTATTGATTACTGCTCCTTTGTATATTTTTCCAGTGAAGTTATGTTTTATACCTATATGCCAACCTACCCCAAGGGCTATGACAATTTACCCCAATCACGGGGTAAATTGACATAGGTTGTAGAGCTACTCTTATTATTTTATATGAGTATGTTGGAATACATCTAGGGATCTAGAAAAAAGGGCAATATTGAAGTAATGTTCACTCTATCTTACGGTAATGCGCACTTTTCAAAACAAGTAATACTAGTCTTAAAAAAATATATAATAGGCGAATCTATGACAACCAACCCCGGTCTCCCCTACCAAAGAGAATTGAAATACTGTTATAAAATATTACCTAAATCAACCACGGGAGCTTATTTTCTATGCTTCGCCTAGCTCAGTCTTTCAAGTGTGATTCCGTCTCGTCTTAAACTATGAATTAAATGAAGAAAATTTAGCTGATAACAAATAAAACAATGATTTAACTAATTATATTTATTCAACATAAAAATAATATATAAGTATCAAAAACAAACCCTGCCTGAAACTTTACAACAAACATATTTAAAATTGGAACTTATGTCATATATTTGGTTGCTTGCTCTTATTAATATGCTTTCTTCAAATTATGTGGATAGGTCCTGTTGCCGCCTCCAGAGCAGGGTAGGTCTTGAAGATAGCTGCAGTTGTTTAGGCCCACATCACTCCATAAATTCCATAAACCATTGCATAAATTATCCAATAAAATATTCCAGGGATTTGCGTTCCTGTAACGTTTTATACTACATAAGAAATTCAGTCTAAGATGTTGAATGGGCTTTTCCATTAATAATTTTCTATTAGTTCTCGTTTTTCGCCAACGAAATCCCATCTTTCTAATTACTGTTCGTAGGCTTTCTGTGAAACCTGAGTAGTTGTACACCTCTGCAAATGTTCTGTGTATGCGCTTTAACTACCAAAAAGCTTTCAACAGAATCAAGCACGATAAGCACATGGTTATACTAAAGGCAACTGATCTGGATAACAAAGACCTTCGAGTAATCAAGAACATATACTATAACCAAACAGCAACCATTCGGGTGAAAGACCAACTAACAGAGGAAGTTGCAATAAAGAAAGGAGTACGACAAGGCTGCATACTCTCTCCCCTATTTAGAAGGTTTACAGACACTAGTAACGCAATTGTGGAGAATCAGTCAAGAATAAGGGCTTGATTTTAACATCAAGAAAGCAAAGTACATCGTCATCAGTAAGAAGCATATTCCTCCTAGTCAATTAATGGTAGATCAGCAACAAATACTGCAAGTGTCCCATTACTACTTTTTAGGAACCACCATAAACGACCAATGGGACCACTGAGTTCAGATAAAACAAAGAATTGAAAAAGCCAGATCAGAGTTTGTCAGAATGAGCAAGATATTTAAGAGCCACGACCTACCCTTAAAAACGAAAATCCGTTTATTGAGATGCTACGTGCTTACAGTGCTGCTCTATGGGGTTGAATCATGGACACTAACAGAGGCATCAATGGGAAAACTTGAGGTGTTTGAGATGTGGTGTTATAGACGGATAGTGAGGATGTCCTGGTTGGACCGAATAACAAACATTGAGGTTCTACGTCGGATGAATAAAACATGTGAAATTATATCCACAGTGAAACAGCGCAAGCTAGAATATCTTGGACATATAATGCGAAACCATCATAGATATAACCTGCTGCAACTTATATTACACTGAAAGGTCTACGGAAAGAGGGGACCAGGAAGAAGTATATCTTGGCTCCAGAACCTACGAAAATGTTCCTTGACCACTTCAGGACTATTTCGAGCTGCGGTCAATAAAGTTAGAATTGCCATGCTAGTTGCCAACATCCGTAACGGATAGGCACCACAAGAAGAATAATGGAAAATAATGATATTAAAATTCGTCTGGTGGATATTTTTAAATATGTAGACTACCTTTAATAGAAGACAAGGTGTTGTTACATGCTGGCCACGTTTTATTGTGTGGCATATATAATAAGTTTGTGTCTAAAAACCAGTAATTTAAATGGTGCTTCACATGAAGTAACTGTAGGTGTGTTACTAGACCAGTAGGTGGCAAAATACACTTGTAAAGCAGGGCATGGAGGAATGTTCATACATGTGATAGCAATTTGTATATATTAGGTACATATATAATCAATGTTGCAATTATGCTCAGAAAACTTACTTTAAAAAAATCTTCCCCTTTACACGCAATTCTGGTTGTTCATTGGTACCTCTGCGGACTTTTACGCGGTCTTCCGATACTTCTTCTGACGATTAGTCACTTATCACTTGCTATTTTGACGACATGGGTCTTCTCCATTCTGCTTATATGGCTATTCCATTCTTTTTTCTATTAAGTGTCCATTCATTTATACACTGCATTTGTACGTTAAATTTTCTTCTAATCTCTTCACTTTTCTTTCGATCTGTCAACGTATTTCCTGTAATTCTTGGCAGTATTCTTAGCTTTACTGTTCTGGGTCTTGTTTCTGAGGCATATGTCATTATTGTCTTATACTAGCTTTATAAATTCTTGATTTCATATCAGTTTTAATGTGTCTATTTCGCCATATAGTGTTATTAAGGCATCCTGCTAGTCTATTTGCTTTTTGTACTTGATCTCTCACTTCTTTGTCCAGGTCTCCATAGCTGGACATTGTAATCCCAAAAAAAATCTGTTGATAAAAAATGTTGTGAACACAATATCATACCACTTACTATTATTCACTTCCCAACTTTTAATTCAGGAGCCCAACGACATTGTACATTTTTATCTCGTGGAAAAAGTGCATACTTATGGCTTCCAATCGATAATTACTGAATTGCGGTACAAAACAGTATTGTTTGCATTTACTTTTTAAAAATATGGTACCTTATTAGACCTTACTTAATCTAATATTATTTACACTATTTCACTAAATGTCAAATGTTTTGTTTCCCTACTTGCGCTAATTCGAATTTTTGCCGCACCATGTCGTCTCTTTCGTGTTTGGCATTGCCATAGTATGCTAGAAATGTTCAAAACCTACGTATTTCAACATTATAAAGATCAATAAAACATCTGATGTGTGTGGATGAAGCATCCATGCACATGAATATCTTGTATTTGTAAAGATAAAACAAATTATCGCTTTCTGCGGAATAAAATGCAAGGAAAAATAAATGGAAAGCAACAGTCAGATTGTAGAGTTTCACGATTAGAAGACATATGGCCGACGACGCTACTAAAAAAGTAAAGAAAATGCTCACATCAATGCTCGAAAGGTATACTCATCTCACAATACATATATGATACCATATAACCAGTAACAGTATAAGTCCGTCGATCAGAGTAATGATTTACTGTATGTATATCCGTAGTATCTTTTTTTTCTTATTATTTCGATTTACTTCTCTCACGCTTTAAAAAGTATAACATTTAGGCGTCGAATCAAGTCAAAATCGTTTTTCATCGGGAATTGATGGGAAATTTATGATCTGAAATAAAAGTAATGTGGTCATATGCAGAAAACAGTTAGCAAAAAAGTCAGATATATTAATAAGTTTTGTGAAATGACAAACTATATTAACATGTTTAATTTTTATTGATTATAAACTTATTGTTGAACGTTATTTTTTTTTATTTTTATACAATAATATTTTGTAAATATATTTTGACAAGTCCATTTGAATATAGTCCTCATTTGCAATTATAACCTGTTATTTGGAAAAACCAATTTTTTAGGGAACAGTGATTGTTCTATGGGATTTTTATAACTTACTCGTTGAATTACACATCTCGTGTGATGTATTATTTTTGGTTTTTTTATGTTTTTGATTGAATATATATATATATATATATATATATATATATATATATATATATATATATATATAGTGTGTTCAATTGAGTCTGTACCATATGGGAAACTTTTATTTTTGGTTTTATGAAAAAAAATTATTCTTTATAAAAAGTTCTGAATGATCTAAAATCTAACCATCAAATAATACATTTATTTCAGTCATATGCGCGGTTTGTCGCAAAATATGAATTTTATTTATATCCACAATTCATATTTTTTGACAAACCTCATATATCACTGAAAAAATTTAATATTTGATGATTGTATTTTATGTTTTAGAACCTGCAGAACTTTTATAAAGAATAACTTTTTTTCAGAAAACTAAAAATAATAATGGTTCTCATGTTGTGTCCACTTAATTGGACACCCTGATATGTGTTAGTGTTCTGGTTTTACGAATGGAAGGAAATATTTTTGTATATTTCCGGGTATTCAGTAGTTGATAATCTGGTTACCTTAAGACATAGAAGGATTGTAGGCGTTTCAGTGAGTTCTCAACTGATGAAAACCCGAGAATATCAAAATTATGTATTTACAAATGAGTGACTTCATTTACTAGTAAATAATATTGACCATGCATACAAATAAATATACTCTTTTTTTCTACAAGTTCCGTTGCAGGTCATTGATCAGATTTTAAGTGTAGTTTAAGTCATTTGAAAATGACTCAAACGTGTCACGTTTTCAATGTAGTGCATGACAATGAATGGATATAAATAATATTTTTTAAAACATATATCAAAGAAACTCTTTCTGCCTATTTTAAATTATTTATTTTAGAAGACAGATCAAACAATATAATTCTAATATAAATCTCTAATGAGATACTACGGGCTAATATATTAGAGAAGTTACAACTAATTGATTGCTCTGTGATAAAAAATTTTGTCATTAAGTGTAACGACAATTGTAGAAAAAAATATATTTATTGTATCTTCCAAATTTCAGTATTATTGTTTCTTAAAATAAACAATTTTTCAATGTCTTTTAAATCTGGTAGTACAGTAAAAGTACATGTTATATGAAAATAGTATTTAAACCAACACCATTTGGTTGATGGCAGTAATTACCAAACAGGAACAACAAAATGGTTGAGGACGAGAAAATATATCCTTTAAACATAATAATGAAGTAAATGAAAATTATATAAATGGTTAGAACATGTAGAGAGGCTAATGTAGACATGTTTATATACGAAATCATTACAAATTATTCGTAGAGAATTACTTACTTACTTACTTACTTACTCCGTGGCGTTACAACCCTTCGTGGGTTTTAGCCGACTCGACAACATGCCTCCACTGTTTTCTGTCTTGAGCAACCTCCATCCAATTCTCCACGCCCGTAGTGCTTAGGTCTCCTGCTATATTATCTCGCCACCGAAGACGAGGGCGTCCGCGTGGTCTCCTTCCAGTTGGGACTTCCTCCCACACCAGTCTTACTGTTCGTTCGTCAGAATGTCTTCTGAGGTGTCCTGCCCATTGGAGTCTTCTGGACTTTATTTCTTTTATGATGTTGGCGTCTGGGTAAAGTTCTTCAAGCTCTTTATTAGTTTCTTATCCTGTATTGTCCTGATGCTTCATCAAGCACCGGACCAAAGATCTTCCTTAGGATTTTTCTTTCCCAAACACGTAGTTTCTGTTCATTTGCCTTTGTTATCGTCCACGTTTCGCTTCCATACATCACAACGGGTCGTATGATTGTTTTATAGACCTGTATCTTCGTACGTCGTGTTAGTTGTTTTGATTTTATAAGGTTTTGGAGGGCAAAATACATATGTTGCCGGCCTGAATCCTGTTGTTTATTTCTTGTGATCCGTTATTGTCTTCAGTTATTGTTATTCCAAGATACTTGAATTCTCTAACGCGCTCAAAGTTAAAGTCATCGATGGTAATGTTCTCAAACCTTACGAATTCTCCTTCATCCTTAATCGCGTGTTTCCTATTAGATCTATATCGTCTGCAATGCCAGTAGTAAGTTTGGTCCTTCTCGATGAAATACTGTATTCGGTTTTTCGATTCTAGCACTTCTGATTATGTGCTCCAGAGCTAAGTTGAAGAGTTGTGGTGAAAGTGCATCTCCCTGTTTTAGTCCATTGTTTATTTCAAATGTCTCCGAGTATTGTTGTCCAACTCTCACCTTACATCGTAACCGTTCCATACACATCCGTATCAACCGGACTAGTTTTTTTGGAAAGCCAAGTTCCTGCATCGCTGTCCACAGTCTGTCCCTATATACTCTATCAAATGCTTGTTTAAAATCTATGAACATCTGATGAAGCTCACGATCAAACTCCCAGCATTTTTCCATTATCTGTTTTATTGTGAATATCTGGTCAATTGTAGAGCGGCCCGATCTAAATCCGCATTGATAATCTCCAACGATTTCTTCTGTGTATGTTTTGGTTCTTTCTAGCAGGATGTTTGCAAGGATTTTGTAGGTGTTTAGGAGTGTTATTCCCATGTAGTTAATACATTGCTTTTTGTTTCCTTTTTTGTGTATTGGGTAGAGAATTACGTAAAGATTAAAACTCTAATGTGATTTTAGACTTGGTTATACTTGGATAAAGTTCAACTGCTTATTTTTCATGTATACCTCTTGAGAAAATTATAGATAAGTAAAACTGTGGAAAAATCTTATGCATTTTCCAGGTCCATCTTTATGAAAATTCAATTCTCTTGTTCAAAAAAATCACGTGTATGATTTTTGAAAGTGATGAAAACGTGACGTGAAAATGTAAAAAAATGCATAATTTTCGGTAATTTTTTCATTAGCTCATAAGAGACATTGGTAGAAATAAATTTAGGCTTCGGAAGATATGTTGAAAGTTTTTTTATTTGCTCCGTGATTTTCTGAAAGTAAATAAAAAGAAATAATCCAAATATTCATTACTTAAAACGCTTCATTACAAGCAGCTACTATATATGTTCTAAACATATGTATCAAGGTATATAGTTAATATTTCTGTTGAAAATATTCGTTATTTCAGTAAGTTACTAAATATATTTTAAATATCTGTATCAAGATATATAGTATACATTTCTACTGCTCGCATTGAAAAATTGTTCGAAGAAATGTATTGAACATCTGGAACAACATGGTTAAACAATTTCATAATCCATTTTTGCCTCAACTAATGAATTTTTGAAATTGGGATAAAGAGTGGCGTTTTTTTTTAATGGCTATAGTAAAAGTTTAAACTCCGCAAAGTTTTAATGTCTTATCTCAAACAATCTTTATGAACTATTTTATGCAATGCGGAAACAAACGTAATGTACCAAAAGTCACGTTTTTAAAGGGTACAAATGCACTCAAATACTACAAAAGAAACATATTTTTATATGATCAGCAAATAATTTTACTAAAGAAATCCATTTGCTGAATCAACAACAAAATTAGAATTATCCCAATGACAAACTAATCCCTTAATGGATGTTGCAGGTTGTCCGTATAATAGTTGGATACAGCAATAGTGATACAATCTTAACAAAGCAAATTATTATATAAATAAATTTTATTATTTCTTGAGGGTATTTTGTTGTTCTGGTGTTCATTACTTGTGTTGGAAGTGGAGATTGGGACCGACAGCTCAATTGTTTACATCTTGTGGCTCTTTCAGTTCTTATTATGTTCGTGTTTCTATATAAGATATAGATTTCGGTGTTCATCCTTTCCCTTTTTGTAGGAATGGCAGCTATGCGACCAGTGACAGACTTCCGAAAAAACAAAAAATATTTTCTTTAATATGCCTAATTACACAGAGTCTGTGTTTCCGGGTTTGAGTAGTGTGTAGGGTAGGCTTCTACCTTGGTTCGGTTATCTTCGATTTTTTTCTTATAAATTTCGATTTGGGGTTCTTTAACTAGTCATTACCATGTTGAGTACGTGTTTAGCCACGCTATCCTTATTACTGAGGCTTCATTGTGCTTCTATTGATCTGCTTCTCTTATTAAGTCTGTTTTGTATTGTCGTACATTTGCTATTTGTTGGGTCTACGCTACAGAACGAAAAAATAAGAGAAGCAGAAGTAGAAACACAAGAAAGCATTAATGGGGGTAATACTCTCTGGTTATGATCTGATGAGATATGGTGACAGGATGTGATTTTAAAACAAGTTTGACTCGTCTCAGAATAGAATATTTTCAATTGTAAAGTAATCATTATAGTCAGTCCTTACTTCTTGTCTACCCCTCTCATTCAACAACTTTCTCTATTATTAGCTGCTTATTTGAGTTAACTGTTGTTCCCAAGTAGATGTACGAATTCACGTGTTCAATTCTTTCATTCTCTAATATCAGTTGCTGTGGTGGTTGTTGGGTTTTGCTTACTAACATCCATTTGGTTTTTGTGATATTTAGTCGTGAGTCCGTGTTGTGCACTTGTTTTTTGTATCTTACTCATTAGGCAACTCAGTTCCTCCATGCTACTTGCTAGAATCACAGTGTCATCAGCATACCTGATATTAGCTACTCTAATGAATTTTGCAAGATACAATTTAAGGAAAAATGGCCCCAGGACTAAGAAGAATATCCTGGCTTGCTAACCTGAGAGCATGGTATAGAAAGACCTCAACAGAGCTATTCCGTATAGCAACCAACAAAGCCATCATAGCCAGAATGATCGCCAACGTTCGGAACGGACCTGGCCCTAAGAAGAAGAATACTGTATTTATATTTATAATAAACATAATCGCCACTCAAAGTCATGGTACTCGACGACTAAAAGCCACCAATTACTGGATCAATTTGGAGAAGACGTCTAAATTAACCC